GTTATATGTGTTTTAAGGCCTCTATTAGTTCTGTGTTATGTTATGAGACTTGTTGGTATATTTGGTTGGGGTCCCAAGTGGCTCGGGTGAGTTTTGGACGAGGTTCGGATCATTTTCGTTTCTTAGTGCATTGCTGAAGGGTGCTGGTTCTGGTATTTCCGCATCTGCGGAAGAATGCACGCAGATGTGGATAGTTGATCGTAGAAGCGAAGTTTGGGCTGGTAAATTGGAGTCGCAAGTGCGATGATTCTCCCGCACCTACGTGGTCGCAGAAGCGGGATGTTAGGCGCAGAAGCGAATGTTGCGTAGGTGTGATGGGTTGTTCCGCACCCGCATTATGCTGATGCTGGTATGGACCACAGAAGCGGAGGCCCAATTTTAGTGTTTTACCGCAAAAGCAGAATTTTGGTCGATTCTGCGACACCGCGGATGCGGTTAAGTGTCCGCAAATTCGGAATTTCTGGGCAGACTGTTATAAGTTCAAGGGTTGGTCATTTTTATCACATTGAGCTATGGACTTTGGAATGGAGCGATTTTTGGAGCAAATTTCATCACAAGGTTTGGGGTAAGTGTTCTCAACTCGGTTTTGGTTATATTCCATGAATCTATCTTCGATTTTAGCTTTGGTTGATGAATTTAAAGAGGAAATTGGGGGTTTTGGCCTAAAGTTTCATAATATGAAATTTTGAGTTTTGAACACTGATTTGGAGTCGGATTTGAGTGAAACTAGTATGGTTAGACTCGTAATTGAATGGGTTGTCGGATTTTGTTAGTTTTGTCGAGTATCGAGGCGTGGCCCGGGTGTGATTTTTGGCCGAATTTGGGATTTGACTTAGGATTCGATCCTTATCATTTGTAATTGTTTCCTTGGGTTTTATCTGATGTATTTGAGTTGCTTTTGGCTAGTTTTGAGTCGTTCAGAGGTCTCTACGCCCGTGATGGCATTCTTGGAGCATCGCTTGGGTTGCTCGGCGCCTGGAATTGGCTTGTTTAAGATAAGTAACTCTTCTAAACTTAGTGCTGAGGGTATGAAACCCTGAATTATGTGTTCTGTGATTGGTGTTGAGGTGACGCACATGCTAGGTGACAGGCGTGTGGGCGTGCACCTTGTGAGTTGTGACTCTGTTGTTTCCTGGGCACTGTTTAGTGGCCCCCTTTGTTGATATTTGTGTTTTTCACTATTTGACAAAGTAATTGAGTTGTACATCGTGCTAGATATCATGTTTAGGCTTTATGCTGATATTGTTGGGACCCCTAACGGTCATTTCTTGTTGTCATCTCATTGATTTCATTGATATTTTGTACTCAGTCACATTCATGCATTCATATCATATCTCAGGCTCAATTGTTACTTATTGATATATCAGTTCCGGGTCAGTTTTTATGATATTGTGAGTTCGTGGGTGAGACTGGAGAGATTGATGATTGAGTGAGGCCGAGAGCCTGATTATGAGTGATAGTTATGGGATCGGGCTGCACACCGCAACGGTTATTCTGATATTGATACTATAGCACGTGAGTTATCCGTGCAGCATGTGAGTTGTCCGTGCAGATTATAGCGCTTGGGCCGAAGGAGACCCTCCGGAGTCTGCACACCCCAGTAGGCGCGGTTGATTATATTCAGGGATGGATCTTCTCCATGAGGCTGGATTGGCCCTGTTTCCTCTGTACTGGAGACTGATGGTCAGTGATGTATATATTACGGGATGGATCTTCCCTGGGCCGTTTGAGCCATATACAACACCGAGTGGTTGAGCATTTATATATATATATATATATATATATATATATATATATATATATATATATATATATATATACCTGTACCTAGAGATGAATCTTTTCTATGGAGCCGGAATGGCGTTTCCTCGGTACTGGGTGACTTATGCTCAGTGTTGTATATGTTCCAGGATGGATTTTCCTAGTCTGTATGGGCCATATAAAGTACCTAGGGGTTGAGTATGATGAGTGGAAAGTGTGATACAGTGAGGTTGAGTACTCTAAGATTGTGAGTACATGATTCATCTCTAGGATACTTGGCATTGGCATGCATATATGGCATACATGCATAGAGACGCATTTCCTCATGTTGTATGGTATCACATCATTAATGACTTTTTCTCACACATTGATATGTGGGCGTAGAGTGGTATTTAACACTTGTTATTTGGAAAGGAGATGAAATATTTTATTTATTTATTGCAGAAAGGATTTTTAGGAAAAACTACAGTTTTCAAACTATCTCAAAAGTTTTCGATGATTTCGATAAAGGATTTGAGTTTTCACTGATATTCTTGAGAAGTGGAACTATCTTCGAAAAATTGTGCAAAAGCTGAACATTTTTATCTCTGAGATTGTTTCTTGTTTGTATGCTCTACGTTGTATGAACTGTTGTTGGGTATTTATGTTGGACCCGACCCATGTTCCATCTCGTCACTGCTTTCAACCTGAGGTTAGGTTTGTTACCTTTTGAGTACATGGGGTCGGTTGTACTCATACTGCACTTCTTGCATATTGCGTGCAAATCCTGGATACCGATGCTGCTGCGTTCGATGGTTGCTGGATTTGAGTGTGCACCAGCGTCCCTGATGTAGCTGCCTCTTGTTCATGGTAGCCTTAGCTTTATAAAATTCTGTTTATGTAATTTTCAAACAGAAGATGTATTTTCTTCATATCGGCTTTGTAAACTCTATTCTTAGAAGCTCATGATTTGTACTACCAATCCATGGAAAATATAATAGATCCAGATAATTTAGTTTGTTTAATTGATTTATTAGGAATATTGAAATTGGATAGTTATTAGTTGGCTTACCTAGCGGGTTGGATTAGGTACCATCACGACAAGTGGATTTTGGGTCGTGACAATCTGAAGGAAAGATAAAATTAAAAAGTTTTATACCCTACAAATCTGCTATATTGGAGATGTCAATCCATTTACGATATTAGATAACTGTAGATTTATCTTTAATTATAGTTGAGGAGAACTCTACGGTCACTTATCGTCTCCGTGCATATCTCCAACCACCGATGCCAGAACTTTTTAAGTTACCAAGGCATTTATCTCTAAAGGAAATGTATTTATAGGCCAATAATCACATTTAAAGTAATATAAGAAATTAAAAAGTCAAGCTTTAGGAAATGAGAAGTTAAATAATCAGTAACGTATACGCTTTATATATATCCTCAACAAATTAATACTAATTGAACAACTGTTAATGCAACTAATTAGTCTCTTCATTTTTTTCTCACGTAGTCACATTCAGATTACATAACTAAATTGTTAATTATTTTTTGGTGGGTATATCTATAAATTAAGTGGTTTAAACAATAAATAATGATAGCTAAGGAGAAAGACTTTAGGTGAAGGGTAATTTGGTCAATTAGTTTTTGAAGGATATTTTGGTAAAATAACTTTACCTAAAAGTCTTCACACTTATCATATAGTATGATACATACATACATATATATATATATATATATATATATATATATATATATATATATATATATAGAAAATGCATAAGTACCCCCTGACCTATACCGGATCCCCAACTACACACTTTTTCTTTGCGGGAATCCTATTACCCCCCTAAACTTATTTTAAATGTAATTATTTGCACCCTTAACGCTGACAATCAAACTCTTGGCAAGTGGTGAGTTACACGCGCCCCCACATATATTTTTAGTACTTTTTTTATTCTTTCTTCTTTTTCTTATCCTTTTTTCTTATTTCTTATTATTCTCATTTTTTTTGGTTATTTCATTCTCTTTCTTTTTGTTTTGGTCACCGGCGGCATAAAATAGTGGTCGTCGGTATTTCACAAACACCATTTTTTCCGGTAAATTTTTTTTTCCGACGACAAATTTTTATCCCGATCTAAGTGTGTTTTGTTTTATATATATATAAATTTTTCTTGTGTAATTTATGTGTGGGAGGAAGAGCAAAAGAAATAAAACGAATATAAGCTAAGAAAACTTTTTCAAGTTAAAATTTCAATACATCATTTTTTTTCCGCCGTAGGAAGGTTTTCCGATGATGAATTTTTTCCCCCAAATCTGAGTGTATTTTGCTTTGCTTACGAATAGATCTTTTTGAAAGTTTAATTTGTGTGTGAAAAGAAAAAATGGAAGAAAAACAGTTAGACAAAGTCGCCGGTGAATGAATATCCGCCGGAATTAGAGAAGAAACGGAAAAAAAAAGTAAAAGGAAAAGGACAAAGAAAAAGGAAAAGGGAAAAAAAACGTAAAGAAAAAATAGGTAAAAAAAACTAAATACTGAAAAATCAATTTTTTCTTGCTTCTCACTCTCCTTTGGGAGAGTGAAATACACACACTCTGCCACGTCAGTGTTAAGGGTGAAAATAATTACGTTTAAAATAAGTTTAGGGGGGTAATAGGATTCCCGCAAAGAAAAAGTATGTAGTTGGGAATCCTGGTATAGGTCAGGGGGTACTTATGCATTTTTCCTATATATATATATATATATATATATATATATATATATATATATATATATATAACATTAATATCAAAACTCAAAAATAATGAATAATAATATTCACTTGCTAAATAAATATATATATACTCGCCCGATCATAAAGGGCAAAAAACCAACTTACTAGATACATAGTAGCTAGTGGGTATCATTTTGCACAGACTTTAACTTTCCTCTATTTAAGAAATTAATCTTATCATTACTGAAATTTTAAACATAATAATAGAGAATTAATAAATAGAAAAATTTCATCCTTTAAAATTTAACAAGGATGTGTGTTAGTTATCCAAAGCTATATTGACATCTAATGGAGCGGAGCCGCTCCCGAAAAGTTCGGACAATTTTTTTTTAAAATATGAATAATATTGCATTAATACTAAAGTGGTCGAGATAGCATACATCCCATAGTAGTTCATTTAGGACACTTTGGTTACCTAAGTTTGCTAGCATATTACATGCATCATACAAAACTTGTTTAACAAAAGATACAGTCCCTTCCTTATCCTTATCTAGTTGTTGCATTACAAAAAAAAGGCGAGCCTGATAATCGATAAGGTTTGTTGAGAATAGGCAACTTCATAGCTTCCTTGTCCAACAGATATGCAGTAGCGTTTCCATGGCGAGAACTATGCCTGATGAACATCTCCCTCTCTCGTAGCATTAACGACCTGCAATAAAGAGCAGTAGGATTAGAAAAGTTTGGTTCCAAAGTTAATAGTTTCACTGCTTTTGTTTCATCTGATTCAATTTCTAGCGGAAATAGATTAAGGTCCATGGCCAACTTCAGTCCTTCTTGTATGGCTAGTATCTCAGCTTGCAGTGCGTTAGAAGTGTAGATATATTTTTGAAATCCTGCGACCCATGTCCCAATGCTATTCCCGAATACTCCTCCCAAGCCTGGTTGCATGTTAGTTTCTGAAAAAGCTCCATCCACATTTAGTTTATACCAATATTTGGGAGGTTTATGCCAATGGATAGTGACTGATTTTTTGTGTTTGACCTCGATGTCCTTATACACTAGTAATTTAAATTCAGTGCTCTAGCTTACTATTAAGTTGCAAAGTAGAGGGAGACAAGTGTTTTGATGGTTGTTGTAATTTCTATTCTTCCATAGGCCCCAGATTGTAAAACGAAATAAGTCGTCCCACTGAATAAGATTGTTGTGTATTTTGGGAGAGCAATTTTTGAGGGTGAGAAGCCAACACATATGGTTAATTAAAAGAGGAGTATGCATGCCTAGTTCTTCCCGAAATTGCCTCGCTATAGGACAGTGCAAAATATATGCTCAATGGTCTCGATGTATGTTTGACACATTGGACAAATGGTATCTATATCGATGCCAATATGTCCTAGATATGCTCTAAATGAGATTCTATTGTGAAGGCATTGTCACAGAAAAAATTTGATCTTATTAGGACAGTTAAGTTTCGAGATCCATTTAAAATCCTTATCCTCTTTTTGATAGCTATCGATTAGATCATAGGATGATTGAGTTGAAAATTGTCCACTACTGGTCAAATCCCATATGGGGTTATCCTTTCCAGTTTGTAGAAGAGGTAGTTCAATAGCAAGAATTCTGTTGAAAATGCTACCAGGTAGATTAAAAGATAAGGTTGATAGGTTCCATTTGTCATTGAGAGATAGGCCGTGAAGGGTTATTGTAACGACCCGACCGGTCGTTTTGAGTTCTAGCGCTTCGTTCAGCAGCCTGAGGCCATGAGCAGCTTCATTTCAGGCATTATGACTTGTACGCGTGGTCGGAATTAAGTTCTGGGAAGTTCAGAGTTGATTTAGGAAGAGGATTCTCATTTTAGAAGCTTAAAGTTGAAAGAACGAACTAGGATTGGATCTTTGAGTAAACAACCTCGGAAACAGGATCTGAAGGTTCCAGCAGATTCGTATGATGATTTCGGACTTGGGCGTATGCCCGGTTCGGGTTTTGGATAACCCGGGAGTGTTTTGGCGCCATTGTGGAAGTTAGCATTTTAGAAGAAATTTCATAAGTTTGGCTTGAAGTGCATTTCAGTGTTATCGATGTCCATTTAGGATTCCGAGAGTGTGAATAGCTCCGTATGGTGATTCTGGAGTTGGGAGCGCGATTGGAAGTGAATTCGGAGGTCCGTAGGTCATTTTGGAGCCGTTTGGCTAAAGATAGAAATTTGAAGGTTTTTGAGAAGTTTGACCGGAAGTGGACCTTTTGATACCGGGGTCGGAATCCGATTTCGGAAGTTGCAGAGGTCCGTAATGTCAAATATGACTTGTGTGCAAAATTTGAGGTCAATCGGACGTGATTTGATAGGTTTAAACATCGAAAGTAGAAGTTGGAAGTTCTAAAGTTCATAAAGCTTGGATTGGGGGTTGAATCATGATTTTAGCGTTGTTTGATGTGATTTGAGACCTCGAGCAAGTCCGTAATGTGTTTTGGGATTGGTTGGTATGATTAGTTGGGGTCCCGGGGGCCCCGGGTGGATTCCGGATGGTTAACGGATTGAAAATGGGATTTTTGGACAGCTGAAGGATCTGGTTGCTGGTATTTTCGCTTCTGCGGTGGGTTGACCGCAGAAGCGGTCCCGCAGAAGCGGAAAGGGAGCCGCAGAAGCGGATCTTGGTCAAAGGCTTGAGGACCGCAGATGCGGTCACGGTTCCGCAGAAGCGGGACCGCATCTGCAGAGAGGGGGTCGCAGAAGCGGAAGCTGGGGAGGCCAGGGAGGACCGCAGAAGCGGCCTGGTGACCGCACCTGCGGAACCGCAGAAGCGGACCAGGGTCCGCAGATGCGAAAAATGCTGGGCAGAAGGCTTGTTTTGGAGTTCATTTCTCTCATTTTTCAAGGCTTGGGCGATTTTGGGGAGTTTCAAAGAGGGGATTTTCGTCATCTATGTTAAGGTAAGTTATCCCCACCTTTTTTTGAGTTGAATACATCAATTATGTATGGATTTAAGCTTGGGAAATTGTTGAAAATGGAGGTTTTTGGTGGAAACCTAGAAAATTATATTCTTGAATTTAGCCACGAATTTGAGCATGGAATTAGGAGTAAATTATATAATTGAGCTAGTGAAGCCATGGGTAAACTTTATCTTCGAAAAATTTTGGACTCCGGGCACGTGGGCCCGAGGGCATTTTGGTCAACTTTTTAATCGGAGTTAGGAATTGCTATAAACTAGTTTGTTATGAATATTTGAGCATATATTAATGGATTTGTACAATCATTGGCTAGTTTTGGGGCATTGTGCGTTGGTGCAAGTCTTTGGAGGAATGTAGAATGCCGGTTATGAGTCTTCGGAGCGAGGTGAGTCTCCTTTCTAACCTTGTGAGGGGGAAACGTCCCCATAGGTGAATTAATTGGTTATGTGCTCCTATTTGTGGGGGCTACGTACGCACGAGGTGACGAGAGTCCATGTGTAGCTACTATTATGCTATTGTCCGGGTAGCTAGGACCCAAAAGCATGAATACTTGGATTATTTGCAAACCCTTTGCTAGCTTAAATTGCTTATATCACATGAAATTTGTAAATGAATTTCTAAAGGGATTTAACCTTACTTCTTAAAATTTGTTAAAAGAGAGTTGGATATATTATGATAAACACTCCCTGATAAGTTCTTACTTGATTGATTGAGCATGTATCTCTATGTGTACCTGCGTCGCATGTATGATTCGCGAGCAGGGTATGTGTTTATTTTATGTTGACCGCGTCGCAAGATTAATTCGCGAGCAGGGGAAATAGATGCATCTATAGGCGCGCCGTCGACCCTCGGCAGGTGCACATTTCTTTTCTGTTGGATCGGGCCGTCGCCTCGGTATGCTTTGCGCATGATATTTTTTATATATTGATGCATGAGAAATTTTAAATAATGATATTGCCTTTCATGGTTTGGGATGAACTGACTTAAATGAAGAGAAGTAAAATCTTGAAAATCTTTGTTAATTGTTAAAAGGTGTTTACCTGTTTTACAGCTTTGTGAATTAGAACATGCTATATGAATCCATGATTTCCTCACACCTTTAGTGTATTATTATTGGACCGCTAGTGAGTGTCCAGGTTGACCATCTCGTCTCTACCCCTTCGAGGTTAGGCGGGATACTCACTGAGTACACGTTGATTACGTACTCACACTACACTTCTGTGCATTTTTGTTGCACAGGTATATGTTACTTTAGCGGCCTACTGGGCATAGCAGCACGGATGATTCGGGGACTAGGTGAGTTGCAATATGTGAGGCGGCCCGCAGCTTGTAAAGTCCCTTCTATTGAATTGTATCTTCTTTCTGTCCATTGTATTCCGGACGGATGTTGTATCGTATTTTATGTCCTTATCAGTAGATGCTCATGCACATGTGACACCGGGTTCTGGGGTGGTTTTCGAAGGAGGTGTACTAATGATTTATTACTTGACTTTAATTGAAATAGCGATTTTTGTTTATTTATGAAAAATGTAAGGAAAATTCCGAGATTTTTGAAAGTATTAAAAGAGAATTTAATCGATAATTTAGTTGCTTTGCATGACGAAGGAGTCCGGCGCATCATGATCCGTAATGGATTTTGGTCGTGACAACATGGTATCAGAGCACTAGGTCCTAGGTCTCACGAGTCATGAGCATGTCTAGTAGAGTCTCGCAGATCGGTACGGAGACGTCTGTACTTATCCTCGAGAGGCTAGGACTGTTAGGAGTACTTCCCTTCTTGATTCCTTGTCGTGCGATTCGATTTCATGTTAGGCTTATGCCTTTGTTTCTTTCCTCTCAATCCTATGCGACGCAAACCGCTTGTCATGAATCGAATTGAGGAACCGTAATGGTGCTACAGACGTGATACGGGATGTTTCTTCCGGTATAGCTGTAGATCAGATTATTGTCGTTGCCTTATGGAAGAATTTTTTATTTTTTTCAGCCTAGTAGCGGTATTTTCGAGGGCTTTGAGGCTAGGCACAAGTTGCCGCGATGCTTATAAATGACTATTCTGCAATAGTAATATGATGATAGGGTGTTGCCCACGTGTCAGGCAGTGAATGATTTCAAGGGAGTTTACTCAGTGCATAATCAAGAGATTCAATATTTTATCCCGGCAGGGGGAAAGGCAATCGAACTAAGGAGGGTCATTATGTGACTTTGTGAATTTATTTTTATTTGTTTGTTTGGTGTTTCCGTTATACTGGTGTTTTGTACTTTTTTGTGTTCTCTGCTGTATGTTGGTTTTCTTGTTATCTTTTTCTATCTGTGTTGTTGTTGGGTTTTGACTATAGGTCTATGGAGTTTTATATATTGTGGTAATAATTTAAGACTTTGTAATTTTGCTAAAATCGTGGTTTGGATTATTTTTTTCTTCTATGTGGTGGTGTTGTTGTCCTAATTGGGCGTATTAAGTTTGTCGGTGTTATGATCTTCTACAATTCGCCTTTGAGGCAAGGTATTGGGAAATAGTATCGGAGATACAACTATCAGATATCGCAGGATGCGGTGGTTCAGGATTGAATCAGTATTTCTATTGTTAACGGTTCGAGAAAGATGACCTTCGGAAAGGTTTGGAGTTAGTAGCAAATTGAGGATTCAAGTTCCATGAAGATAAATCTTATTAGGGCAGCAACTGAGCAGCAAAGGATGGGAAAGGCATGTGGGAAGTGTCAGGCGGAGTTTAAATTGCTAAAAGGCCAGGTATATGAAGCAAAGGTTGAGTAGTCGATTAAGGGGATGAGTTCCGCCAAAGTGGGAGAGTGGCGGAGATGTATATGGGCTTGCAGTGGAAGGACCACGTACCTTAAGGAGAGTTTGGAGTGATTTGATAATATTAGTGATCGGTGATTGGGGTCTACGGGTTCAATTTGAAGTAGGGGTTTTTGTGCGGCCGGAGGTTTAATATAACGGAAAGGAGTCGCTTAAATGAAGAAGGATACAGCATGGCTTTGAATTGGGAG